GTTGTGATCCGTTTTATCCTAGAAGACTGGCGCTACAACAATGCTCCTAGCACCCACGAGAGGTAGCGAATCAGTTTTAAAGAAAGTGTGTGTTATACACGACTTGGATCTTTCCTTACTTTCGTTGGGTTTATAACCTCAGGTTTGTAAACCCTCTTTCTTTTTATTTATTTTTATATAACTAATTCTGGTTCCTTTCAAAAAATTCCAGTTACTTTGGTTTAGCACCAAGGTTGGTTGGTACCATGTGATTTGGTCGAAAGACTTTGGAAATTCAAGGAGTTGAATTTCAAAGGATGGTAACATAAAATGTTGTTCAACACAGTGATTCTCGGCATGTAATGATTCTTAACCGAGATGGCTCCTAGTGGAAAGGAAATGAGTCTAACACTCAAACCATTAGCACATTAAAGTGGAGGCTTGGAAAGTTGTTTATTTCCTATGCCTAAACTACATTTTAAATGGTTTGTGTGACTCGTTGTACTGAAAACAGCTAACGGGCTGTGGGAACCTTTGGACATGAAGTATAAAAGTGAATACGCTAAGGCAAAGAAATTTGTCGTTAGCCAATTCCTTGAATACAAGATGGTGGATTCCAAGACTGTCCTAAGTCAAGTTGAAGACATGCAAATGATCTTCAATAAGATGCTTGACTAAGGAATAGTAGTGAGTGAAGCCTTTCAAGTGGAATCTGGTATTCACATGCTTGACAGGAAGGACTTCAAGAATTATGAGGAGCAATTCCATGGACAATGCTAAAATGGCTTAATGGCGAAAATGGAACATAACAAACGTGTTACATATTAAAATCTCGTAGAGGACTTCGGTTCTAGTTCATGTGGAATGATAAAGATTTCAAGATTAATCATTTTGTCAAAATTAGGATAGCTATATAATCATAAGCGTCATAGCTCAAGTGTGTTGAATATTTTAAATAATATTCTTAATACGATTATATAATCTTGATTCAACTAGTTTGGAAATTCGGTTGATATAATCCTGTTAATTATGTTAAAATTAACTTGATTAGAGATACCAAATTATACTAGTACGAAACTTGAAATTGAGACAAAATGATGGAAACATTAGGACAACAAAATAAATATAAAACCACTTGATTTTCGAGTAGTGGTGTAAATGATTTATTTTAATGTTCACTCTTGTGGATTAAGACAAGGTTTTGTCTAAATTTGGAATGAAGGCAAGGGTTAGGTAATAAATGGACTATAAGCTCGGTATAATAACCGCAGTTAATAAATATTTTTACTTGAACTTGCTTGGTTGAGTCTTCATGTTTGTTGCACGGTAAACTAGGTCATGGTAATTTTTAATGAGTAAATACCCAAAATGGTCCCTCGACTATAACTAAATTCATAAATTGGTCCTTGACTTTCAATTTTAACCAATTAAGTCCTTAACTTTGCAATTTTAACACGATTTGGTCCTCCGTCTATTTGACTGTTTGTTGACTGTGATTTTTGAGGATATATATGTAATTTCATGGTCCATCGTCGATTTTTTAAGGTTCCGGTTGCATTTTCAGACCGCACTGTTACATTTGAATCCACCGCCGAAAGCAATCTGTCAAATCCTGTCACCTTTCTTCATCCTCCCTTTGGATTCAATGTAGTTGAGTTCGTACCAGAGTGAAGAAGACAACGTGTTTCCAAACCGATGCAGCGTCATCCTGGAGGCCTCCATGTCCTCCGGTTAGAGCTGCGGGTATTTCTGGAGATCGTCGATGACGGTGCGGGCGCCGGCGTTAATGCAGAAGTGTTCGCAGGACCAAATCGTGTTAAAATTGCAAAGTTAAGGACTTAATTGGTTGAAATTGAAAGTCGAGGACCAATTTGTGAATTTAGCTATAGTTGAGGGACCATTTTGGGTATTTACTCATTTTTAATCTATACATAGATTAATTAGCATGAATCACATTCCAAATTAATGATAAACACAAATATGATATTTGTGATGTGGCAAAACCACCGAGAAGTGAAGCGCACATCTCAGGTCTGAGAAGTTCTAGAAGCACCTCTCGTCCACGTGTCCGAGAAGTAAGCGTACCTTCCAGACACAAGCGAGAGTTTACTTCAATTCTCATCCCAATCTAGAAGTAAGTTTACTTCTCGGTGTCGACGGAAAGTCAATTAATTACTTTATGGGTGATACCAAGAAGTGGCTTCAACTTTTCAAACGTAACCAACTTAATCATGGAATTAAGGCGGTTAGAAGAAATCGGTATGGTGAATATGAAACACATATTGGTGATTTCTGCGCAAGCGTTGGTACCATACTCGAATGGTGTTGCTGAACATAAAAATCAAGACGTTGATTAATTCGGGTTTACCTCAAAATATGTTGGGTAAAGTTAAATTTGACAAGCAATTACCGTTTAAATAAGATTCCCTGTAAAAAGCTCGATAAGATCCCTTACGAGTTGTGAAAAAATAGAAAGTTTTCGTACCAATACTTGAATGTGAGAGCGTATTGCCAAATGCGTTTATCAGTTCTTAGTATTCGAGTCCACATTCTAGACGTACATAAGAACAGAGCAAATTGAATCAAGAAATTCATAATAATTTTCCATAGCAACCCCAATCCCCTCTAAGCCTAAACCGGCAAATTATGCCCTGGACCCGTGTCTACAGTTAATTGTGGACACGGGCCCAAAATGACGTTGTTTTTTAAAAAAAAAACGCGTCATTTAGTTAAAAAAATAAAAATAAAAATTCGCGCGCGTTTTGCCGTTAACGGCGTTATTTTTTTTTTTTGGATTATGAATGTACAGTTATGCCGTTATTAAATGTACAGTTATGCCGTTATGAATGTACAGTTATGCAATTATGAAATTATGAACACAGAGCTCTAACATTATGAACTTACAATTATGAACATATATAGTAATAAAATTATGACCATGGAGCTTTAAAATTGTGAATATAGAGCTTCGAAGATTATGAATGTACAGTTAAGGAGTTATGAATCTACAGTTATGGAGTTATGAATCTACAGTTATGAGATTATGAATCTACAGTTATGGAATTATGAATGTACAGTTATTGATCGAATTATGAACAAAGAGCTCTAACATTATGAACTTACAATTATGAACATATAGTGATAAAATTATGAACATAGAGCTCTAAAATTGTGAACATAGAGCTTCGAAAATTATGAATGTACAATTATAGAGTTATGAATGTACAGTTATGGAGTTATGAATGTACAGTTATAGAGTTATGAATGTACAGTTATTAATAATATAGTAATAAAATTATGAACATATACTCCTATAACGAAGCGATCTGAAATTTAAAAAATAAATAGAGATAATAGTGCCTAACGGCACTGTTACCCGTGTCCAGCAAGCATGCTGGACACGGATCCAACGCATAACGATTGGCCTAAACCACAACCTTTGCCCATTAATTCTTCTCTATCACAACCTTGCCCATCAATTATTCCGATCCCTAGCCAACCTAGCCTCCACATATCCACTTGGGCTTAATACTATAGCCAAATAGGCCCAAGCCCCATCACCTCTTATTTCTTTTTTTTTTTGAAAGTCATCACCTCTTATTTCAATTTGTTATATAACCACATATATTTATATCATGGACTAAGGTCTATATAACATTATGGACCATCAATCAAAACGACAAGGTACATAACTCATTACTTATAAGGTACTGAATTTCATAATATAAGACACAAAAAATCATAACACAAAACACATTCATATAATATATAGGGAAAATGGCACTTCTTCCCCCTAAGTTATATACTTAGAGCACTTTTCCCCCCTGAATTATTTAAGTGGCTATTTTTTCCCCTGAAATGTTAAATGGACATATTTATCCTTAAAATAAATATTTAAAATAAATATTTCATTTATTTTCCTTCTCCAACAAATTATGACCATAATTTGGTTCAAACCAAACAAACACTATAGCAACCAAACCGAAATATTTCAATTACGATTTAGAATCGAAACTCGATATTTAGAGTTTATTAAAATCGCGAACCGGAACGGACGGTTCATGTTCCGAAGTGAAAAAATAAAATACATTTATTGTTGAATTTAGACTATTTAAAATAAAAAAATAAAATTTTAAAATAAAGACGGTTCAAAATCGCGAACCGGATCCAGAATCGCCGATTCACGGTTCAAGATCCAATTTTTTTTTTGATTCATAATTTTAATAAATTGAAATCCAAATATTAGGTTCTAGATCTGAATCATAACCGGAAACTTTTAATTCAATTGCAATAGTGCCCGGTTCAGTTTGATCCGAATCGTGGTCATCCCTATGTATACAAGATAATTTGTTGGAGAAGTAAAATAAATAAAATGTTTACTTTAAGGGTAGAAATGTCAATTTAATATATTAGGAGAAAAAACCACCACTTCTAGAATAATTGAGGGAGTTAATGTGCTTACCTAAATAATTGAGGGGAAAAAAGGACTATAAGTATATAACTTAGGGGAAAAAAGTGTCATTTTCCCTAATATATATTTACTTATTTTTCAAATCTGATTTAGGTACATAATTTGCGTCCATAGCCACATAATTTCACAACACATGACACATAAATTCATAACATAAAATATAATTACTAATTTGTTTCAGATACAGAATTCATATTCGTAAGGTATAGAGTTTCATAACACAAGACACAAAAACTTATAACATAAAACACATACACATGCACTAGGGTCCACGGTACACTGTGAACCCTAATCATTGGTATAAGGATTACCAAAGTTCCAAACTTATCATCCTGCCCATATTTTCTAAGTTGCCCACAATATAATTTTTCACTATCTGATATGATAATATATAATTTTTTTTTTTTTTTGAATCAATATAATTTTTATTTGATTAGCCAATGAATAAAACGAATTTTAATGTAAGTTTGCATATATGAAGCGCACAAGAAAAATACAAATACAAAGAATATACAACACTAATAAATGATACTTCCATCTTAATTTTAGTCGTGAGCAGCAGGATTTGAACCTGTGAGGGCAAAACCTACATGATTTCGAGTCATGCCCGTTAACCACTCCGGCATGCCCACAACCCACAACTCTATCTTCTAATTATTTGTTTCCTTACTATCGAAAACAGAAACAAAGCATTGACCAAAGTTTAAGGATCAAACAAGAAAAACCAACACATGAAACCCCAACTAATTAAATTTAAATTTCATATAACCATATTGGCATACATATTGGGGCAAACCTTCATTACCACCCTTGAGTCGTTTGTAATTACAAACTTGTTGAACAAGATCCAAGAGTCACTACTGGAAATTCTGAAATTTCCGACCACCTGAAAATGATCTTAAATTAAGTTGATACCAAAAAGTCTAAAAAGTGGTCGGAAATAGCAACAAAGGTTTTTCCGGATACCAAAAGTGGTCGGAACAAGACTTTCAACTTGATTTAAGATCACTTTCGAGTGGTCGGAAATTTCAGAATTTCCAGTAGTGAGTCTTACTCTGGGCATCAGCCAATGAATATGCTTTTGGATTCAAAGCTTCTTATATATGCCCATGTACTAAAATTAATTACTAAAGACCGTAAATATATAAACTTTTTCAAAAAAATTTAGATGGAGAGATTACGTACCATTTTTTTTTTTTTTTTTTTTGTGAGCAAGATGAAAGACGGAAGGGAGGCAGGGATTCTAGCTTTATTTTGAGAATGGAACAACCAGAAGATCGAGTAAGAATGGAGGTTCAGGAGTTCCTAAAGTTTAAGAATGAAAGGAAGTGTCTAGAATACTAAAAAAATGTTGAATCACAATAAGACGTTGTGTCCTAATTAAGGTTTGTAAACTTGGGGTTTCAGGCACCAGAAGCTTCCTAAATCAACTAGGGGTAGATAATTAATTACAAATCAAATTAACCAAAAATAATAATTATAACTTCGTGAGCGGCAGGATTTGAACCCGCGCAAGCAAAACACACATAATTTCTAGTCATGCCCAATAACCACTCTAACACACCCACAACTTCGATGATCTTTCTTTTTGTTTAGTAATGTACATATTCCTAAAACAACAATATTTATGCTAATTAAATAACATCCACTTTTAACAGACTTACAATTGATATTAGGGATATATAGGGAAGCGATCGGGTGCGGGGAGGGGTTCCCGTATGATTGTGCGAAGGAACGCACCTTAAGCATTAAATTGGCGCACTTTAAGTATACAACCCACGCACATTAAGCGTAAAACTCACGCACCACGCACGTTAAGCATAAAAATTGTTCACTTTAAATTTTATACAACTGACGCACATTAAACATACAAAATCACGCACCTTAAGGAGGAAAACAATACACATTAAGAAGGAAACTCACGCACCTTAAGTTTCAACAACTACTCACATTAAACACAAACCCACGCACCTTAAGCACAAAACTCACGCATCTTAATTAAAAAACTCACGCACATTAAGTTTCAACAACTACTCACATTACGTACACAACTCACGCACCTTAAAAACAAAACTCATGCACCTTAAGCACAAGACTCACGCACCTTAAGTACAAAACTCACGCACCTTAAGTAACCAAAATGTACCTTCAGATAGCGATTACGAGTAAATAAAAAATTTGATGTATTAGCATTTTTTTAAAATATGAGGTCCAAGAAGATACCATGATACATTAAGGGGGAAAATTATATCATGCACCAGGGCGCACAATGCATTTTGCGCCCTGACCAAAACGAGTTAACTTCTAAAAATAAAAAATAAAATCTTTTTGTTTCGGATGTACATAATTGTATAGTAGAATACACATAAACTCCTAACATAATACACATAATCTAACATAATACATAATACACATAAACTCTTAACATAATACACATAAACTCTTAACATAATACACAGAAACTCTTAACAGAATACACATAAACTCTTAACAAAACACACATAAATACTAGTGTTAAAAAAAAAAAAAAAATTGTAACGGGATTGGACGGACGGAGTGGTGCCGTCGCGTCAACCACCACATAACTTATAAAAACGACATCGTTTTGGGCCAGGGCGCACAATGCTGGTGCACGATATAATGATTGAATTAAGGGTGTGTTTGGTTCATGGGTTTACACATTAGGAATGAGAATCAAAATCATAATTAGTGTTTGGTTGACAATTTTATAAAACACAACTATGAGATTTGATTACCCCTTCAATTAAAAATTCATTCCCTAGTTAAAAAATGTATCATTCCATCTTATTCGTAATATAATCTTTAAGTTTAGATGAGTTTTTTTTTTTTTTTTTTGTTTATTTTTTTTTTAATATAGACTTTTGTTTTGATTTTTTTGTTCATATTGGTGCTTTGGATCATTATATTAGGATCAATTGTTCTGATTTTTTGTTTTTATATTTTTAAAATCTTTATTCCCATTATAGGGTCATACATAACGAAACATCAATATTGGTAATCATCAATTCCACCCTACTACTAAACATGCAAAATGCTTTCACCAAAACACATACCATTACCAAGGCTATGTTTGGCAAACCTAACTGAAAAGGTAGCTGAAAGTTTAAAAGGAGCTGAAAGTTGAAAAGCTATAAGCTATGAAAACTGGAGAGTTGTTATGTTTGAAAGTGTTTGGTAAAATTTACTTTTTAATATGCTGATAAATGTAAAAAGACAAAAAATGACATCTTCATAAAATTTAAATTAGTTTATTTACATATTAAATTTTAACATTTTGTCCTAAAAAAAATTAACATTTTGAAATAAAATTATTACCATAATCATGATCTAGCATATCATAATGAAGTAGCAATATTATTGTTGCGAATCTCCTTCATGTCATAATAATAATAATAATAATAATAATAATAATAATAATAATAATAATAATAATAATAATAATAATAATAATAATAATAATAATAATAATAATAATAATAATAATAATAATTGCGGTGAAATTTGCGGATAAAAGAGAAGAGAAAATGATTTTAATTGGGAAGGGTAAAGGATGTCATTTCTTTAAAATAATAAGGACAAAGATGGAAAAATAGTTAGGAAGATACTAGCTTATTTCGAAAGGCTACCTAAGATAGCGTTTCAAAATAAGCTATTATTTTAAACTACGGGCTTATTTTAGGAGCATTACCAAACAGAATTTATAGCTTATTATATTAGTAGTTTAAAATAAGGTATAAGCTCATAAATAAAGTTTGTCGAATAGACTCCAAGTATTTGATTCCATTCAGATTCAAATTCTAATTTCGATCCCATGTGCGATCCAAACACAACCTAAGTTTTTAAACATTAGAAGCAACTCATAAGATTATATTATTCGTTTACTTTGGGAAGAATATTATTCGTTTACTTAACTTTTATGTTTACGAAATAAGGTAAACAATATATTCCTATCTTTATGAAATAAGGTAAACAATATATTCCGATCTTTATTTTAATTTGTCCCTTTTTGTGTTAGCTTGGTTAATTTGTTGAGTAGGAAACAGAAAATTAAAGACCCTTTCGATCACTTTTCACATGATTGCATAGATTAGGCCAAAGACAAGAATGAGTCCATAATTGGTGGATGCTTTATACAAATATCTACCAAAGAGATATGATGAAACTATATTCAAAAAGGTAAAAATGGTCAAGAAATGGCATATTCCTATCCCCACAAGATTCCCACTATGAGCTTTGGTTTCAATCTATATAACGAAAATTAATTATTTGCCCAAGGGTGTCCATAACTTGCTTTCCTCCATAAATTTCTCCCACTCCGCAATCATTTTTTTCATTACTCGTGAACAAAATTAAGAAAATGACATGAATTAATTAATTGAGATTGTGACATGCCAACAATATCTCGTTCTGATATGCAATGTCTTTAATTTCTTATAGACACATAATCTTTTGTGTGGCTAGCTTTAACTAACAAATTAAAGAATCTGACCTACCAAATTTTCGTTGCTTTTATCCCATGCTTGTTGCTAGACCCTTGTAATACTCTCTCTAGCTAGCTTATATTATAGAATTATAGTCACAAATACATGCAATGTTGCATATAATTTGCAGCTCCTAGCTCCTTGAATTTCAATCAAGAGGCGGTATGTAATCTATCCTAAATTTTCTTTGTTTCTTGAGTTGTGTGGTTTGTGCATGTGTTATAGAAAAAAAAAAAATCCAATGTTCTATCTTTTTTTTTTTAATACTAATCAAGACCATTAAAGCGTGTAAATTAACAATTTCATGAGATATTTTTATCTACTGAAAAACTAAATGATTATATTGGATATAAGATTTTGGCTTGTTCGTCATACCTAATTACAAGCTGTTAAACTAAGCTAAGCTAGTAGATTTGAAGTAAAAACTTTTGGTAAAATTAGTTGTTAAAAAAAAGTCAATAGATAGTGTTGAAAGAATATACATAATAGACAAGGGAGAAAGGAGGATCATCTCTTATTCATCATTTGTCTCATGATACAAGCTATATATATATATATATATATATATATATATATATATATATATATAATACAAGGTGCAAATATATGAGCAATCAAAGCATTTGTACGTATGTTACAAATGATGTTCCACTTAATATGTTTATAACAAACATAGAGTTTTTCTCTTCAATTCATCCCTCATGATGTGACATTATCCAATTGGTAACTATTTTTTTTTTCTTATATAGTTAGGTTCGTAATTCATCTAAGAACTAATAGCCTTGAGAATGTGTAGAATTAAGGAAAAATGAGAAAAATGGGTTGACATTTCTATAGTACATTTGAAAACTTTTGATAGTACATTTACAAAATAACTAATAGTTCACACATGTTAAAATATTATCATACCCGCATGGACAGCTCAACTGGTTATAGAGATGAAATTTTGAAAGAATGATCTGGGATCAAGATTCACCAGCGGTACTCTCTGTTGGGTTAGAGTGTGGGGTCTTTAGGATTAGGGTTCAACTTTATTATCAGCAGCAGATGTAGTATCAAGTGTTTTTAAATTCTATCAGTTTCTCTCTCTATATATATATATATATATATATATATATATATATATATAT